TTCTGGGGCACAGCCTCACTAGCTAAAAACACACACAGAGTATGGTTTCATTTACAGGGCTGTCGTCAATAAAATACATGATATGATTTTTTTTTTTTTTTTTTTTTTACATGAATTAGATGAGTTGACCAACATAATGCCGCTTGGTTTGAATGTGACTTTTTTGTGAGCGGTGTTTCATGTATCACTACACTACTAATAGTGGACTGGATCTTTTTTCTAGGCATGCGAATGTGACCACACCTTTCGACTGATTAAATAAAATATATGACATCAACCTTTTGATCAAAGGAACGTGTTCTGTCATATGTAGTAATGACGATACATGACAATTTAGTAATCAAAGTCCAACAGAGAATGTTTTTTTTTTTTTTTAAGTGGGGCTGTCAAACGATTAATCGCGATTAATCGTATCCAAAATAAAAGTTTGTGTTTACATAATATATGTGGGTGGAATGTGTATAATTATTTATATATATATATATATATATATATATACACGCTTGTATATATTTAAGAAATATTTTATACTGTATATTTAAATATAATTTATAGTATAAATATAAATATTTTATATATAAATAATATTTTTTTTCTTAAATATACATGTGTGTGTATATTATATATACAAAATAATTATACACAGTGCACCCACACATATATTATGTAAACACTAATTTTATTTGGATGCGATTAATCGCGATTAATCGTTTCACAGCCCTTTTTTATAATATATAATATTATTGTGTAGATTCTATTAAATACCAGCTGTATATTTTGTCTCTCATTTATTTTTTTATTATATAGCAATATTTTACAATTTAATTTAAATTTTGCTTGTTTGTTTTGGAGTTTTGGAATTTTTACAATTTTACGATTTAGTTATCACAGTTCAACAAAGAAATGTTTTTTGTTTTTTTTTGATTTATGACATAATTGTGTAGCTTCTATTCAAGAATAAAATGTATTACATTTTACTACAATATTTTAATAACTCATTTTGCTTGTTTATTTATTTGTTTACACACTTAACGATTAAGTTATCAAAGTTCAACAAAAAAATGTTTTTAATATATTACGTAACTGTGTAGATTCTTTTTGAGAAGATGTCATTATTACATTTTAATTTCACTTATTATACAGTAACATTTTTTTTTAATTTCAATTTGATTTTGCTTGTTTGTTTGTGGAATTTTTACAATTTATTTAAAGTTAAACAAATAAATGTTTTTAATATAGGCCTATTACATAATTGTGTATATTATATTAGAAATATAATTTTCATTACACATTAATATTATATTATATAGTAATATTTTTATTGCTTGTTTGTTTTTGGAATTTGATGGATATAAACCAAGTCTAAGGGTACGTTTATACAATCTAAAAACTTAAACGTTTTTGCCTATATGAACACATAATACACGTGCATGACGTCACTGTTTTCACAAATTTGGCAATTATGGCTTCGTTTTTCAAAAATGTGCATTTTGAATACCAATTTTAAAAGTTTGCACTTTCAGGCTCCCAAAACCTCATTGTCATGTAAACGAATGGCCGAACCCGCCTAAAAAGTTTGCAGTATATATTAGTTCAAAACGATATTGTGTAAACAACAGCCCCTTAAAGTGCAGTCACAATTATATCATTCCCCAGCAAAATACATGGACACGATATAGCGTCATTCTGTTCTGCCATTACCATGACTACACATCAAATAGGTTTTTAGGTTTATTGAATTTTTTTTTTTTTCAAGCACATCTTTGAAGTTATTTCACAACAGAACATCCTCCGTAATAAAGCGGCTTCAAGTCTCGTCTCTTCATTCGTGTCTTGGCTTCCATTCAGTCTACAGATTTCTAATCATAGCAGCTCAAGCACTTGGTTAATATTCACACATATTCAAGACCATGTCTTTGATGAGTATTCAATGTGTAGTTAACAACCCATAAGACACTCATTTAAATAGAACATTCCACATTTTTCACAACTGTAGAATGAGTAAAACAGGTTATCAGAGCAGCACAGTGTTAAATACACTCAAGTACATTATTAAGTCATGATTTGGAACAACTCTATGGCTTCTACTAATTGAGTGTCTACGTGTCTCAAAGGAGAATAATGAAGGTGGCCACCAAAGTTGGCATGCTGTGGAAGAACACCGGGGAAGCGTGCACTCAGAATTGCATACTTATTCAAAACATAATGAGACATCATCACTAACAGGTTAAGCAACAATACAAGGAAAATGTAATGTAGAGTGCACTCACACAGCAAAATGTGACTTCCGCTCTAGAGTTATATAGCTATGGGCAATAGGTATAAATGTGACATTACTGTACGTGCCATATTGTTTACGAGCTGTTTTGTAAGCTTTGTAAAAAGTTTGTAAGCCTCCAACCACTCACTAACTTGATCACTTGCTCTCTGATAAGAGTCGGATGATGC